ATAAATCAGTAGGCCATTCCCGTTACTACCAATGGAAGTCAGCAAAATCGGACAGTTTGTACCCCAGCAGACCTTGTGTTCGGCACAAATTTAATTATCCTCTTTTAGGCGGAACTAACATCCCTTACATTCCATCTGACACTGCATTAATATTCATTTATATAAAGTATTTGATGCGTTGTCATTTGTAGCGAACCAATCACCGAAGCGGGCTGAATAAGTCCTGCCTCCAACAACCTTTAGCTACTACCAATCAGCGTTCAAAGGTCGCCTCAAACCAATCACCAGCTAAAACGACGCCGGCGTCAACGTTAACTAATGAGAAATCAGAGGCTGATCCATACGCCTGGGTGGAAGAGGAGGAAGAGGAGGAGGTGAAACCAGAGCCAGAACCGAAGCCATCGGTATTTGCGGTAAAAGAGGAAGATGAAGAGGATGACGGGATTAAGCCCTGGTTTTGGCCGGCATCCAGAGACATTGTCAAACCAACGCCATCAGTGGCTGCTCCTCCTCATCCGTCACATCCGCTTTCGACCGATGGGCGAGTGAGTTCAAAGGACGTTCCTCTTCTCTCTCCACTGGCCAATGGTACTGGTGTGGAGGCCAAAATCACGAATAACGTTTCTATGGAAAAAAAAGATGTGAGTTATTACTTGAGGCGGGTTGAAGATACTTCAACTGACACAACCTTTGATTTTTGTGACATGGTTTGACGAGAGGCTCTCCTGACAGTCACTTTTAATGTATCAATTCGTTCAGCTTAAGTCAACAGACGTTTTTCCCCGATATAGTTCCCACATAGGCTTAATAGGCTTGAATCAATTCAGTGTCTCCTACTCCCTTCTCCTGTTGTCGGGCAAGCCGATCCTCGTGCTCAAGTAGGATCAGGGCAAAGTCCCTTTATTATAGTGGGATTTCCACTTAGTCTACATCACTTTCCCAACGTTCAGCAAAGTTCGGGGACGTCGTTTCAAAAGTCAGCAGTTCTACAAAATATTTGTTTTGCTCCCAAGCGGTGTTTCCGTCTAATGGCAGTCAAATTTGCATTACCAACTACTGCTTCTTCTATGCTAGTTATTATCCACATTTATTTGCCGTGGTTTTATTGTCTCATAAATCACTTTGATCTCCTATATTCATGCTCCTCATATTTAGGCACCTTCAACTCTTCACCTCATTCTGTTAGCTAAGATCCAACGCTATTCTCTAAACCTCTTCCATACTTCGGTGAATTTATGATGTCTGCTCTAGTACCCTAAATGATTGTGCGTTAGACACACAAGTAGTACTCGCTGGAGTGGCTGGAATTTTAATGCTTCCACCAATTCGCGCGTGGT